CAGGGTTATATTTAACCCTTCTGTTAGCCAGAGGGATTTTTTTTTTTTGCAGGTGCAGCCTTTTTATTTTTTACATGGTCCTCGGTAAACAAGACATCAAATGAATCATTGAAACAGTCAACGTCTCTGCATCATATTTGCACGATCGATTGTTTTTCAGTACTTGCATTTGTGTCAGTATATTAAAAAAAAACACAAACAGTATAGTCAGCTTCAAAATCTCATCACGTTTTTGACATTATCTCAATATCTGAGGAATAATGATGGTTATTTTTCACAATTCCCTGGTATTTCATAAGACTAAATGATCAACCTGTTGATGAAACAATGGCAGGTACTTTACTGTCATGTTTGCCATCATTGAGCCCTAATTCTCGGCGAGTCGTGAGGAAGATTAAATGCTTCGGAGCAGATGTAAACATTCAAGGTTCTTGCAAGTTCGTGCGGCACACGTGTGTCGTTGTCAGTGTTTGTTTGTCAGTATAAGATCAGCGAGTTAATGGGCTAGTAAATCCCCCACGCGGCAGCTTTCACTGCAGCCTGACAGATGGAAGCGCGGCGCTCGGCTCACAGCTCCTCAGGCTCGGTCCGACTATCTGCCGCCGCTGCCAGGGCCATCTGTGACCCGGCCAACCCCTCCTCCCCGACCGCCCCCATCGGGTCGCCCAGCCGCTGCCGTCCAGTCCTAAAGTCCAGACAGAGAGGGACATTAGCCTCTCTGGGAGTTCGCTCTCACTCCTGCTGTGTCCCATCATGTTCCCTCCTGGCAGTTGGGCTCGGTGCTCAGATTACAGGATCAACATTAACCTTTGGCCTCTGTGTCTCATCTCTGTCCAGCATATTCAATTCTTGTATTTCCAAATTATTTACCTGCAAACACAAGACGAAACCCACATCAGGAAGCCTTCTGCTGCCTGTTAAACCAATATCATACATGTTGATTGACAACAAGGTTACGACTAATTCACTTGCATAGATTTATTCTATCCTAAAGATGAAAGCAGTAATTAACATTGTGAATGTATTCTTTTATAAAACATGCCAAGAGTGTTTTTTCAGCATGTTTCTTAGTAGTTTTTTGTCAAAGTTTCCTCTGTTAAAAGAAATGCATACATTTAACTAAAGTCAGTTCTCTCAAACAAATAATCTAACATTCTGTAGGGAGCTTCAGTCATTAGGTTAACCCCTTAAAGTCGCCATTATCAGTATTTCTATCATACAAATACCTCAAATGACAACATATAAACACTGTGGCAGTGAGAAAGAACCTCCAGTGAATCGTCACCAGAATCTCCAGCTCTCCGTTGCTTGACTCTGACTTCAAAGTGACATTCAGCAAGCACACCGTTTAGCTGTTCTGGCCTGCGAGTTACCTGTTTTTGTAGGCAGCTGTTATTAGAGAAGCAGCTTTAAATCCTGTGTTCCCTATCTGCCCAGCAACAACTGAACGGCAGACACAACAACTAGCTGCTGTACACAGTCGAGTGTTGGGCGTCTAAAGAGGCAGATATTTTCCTGAGGATTTGTTAGAGACGAAAAAAAAGAGCAAAATGAAAGTGGATATTAGAGTAAAACTTCTCAGGTGTCCAGAAACATTAATCTGAATGAATAATTATGTGACTTTTTATCTGTTTGATTAGTAAAAAGGCAGCTTTTTGCAAACAAACTTGCTTAATCTTGTTTAAAACATTTCCATTCAGTTATCACAGGTTTAAAGTTAAGGTTGGAACACCTGATTTTGCTACTTGGGCAAGGTCGGTTCCCCTTTTTTAACAGATTTTTTATCAGCAATTTTAAATAATGATAATATAATATTTTGCTCTTTTACATGATCTTACCAGCTCTGGTTCAAAAGACCTGCAATTGGCAAAAACCTCCTGGACTAGACTTTGTAAAGCCTAAACAATGGAGCCAGGGGAGGTGTAGGAATCTATTTTCCTCAAAGACCACTTGAATTTCAGGTTGCTGTACGGTTAGTGTAGAAGTTTTGCCCAGTGACGACCAAAAATACTGCCCAATCGAGCTTAAAGTACGATACTCATGCAAGGAATCTTAAATCCTGAAGTTTTTATTCATACAGTCAAAACAGAGAAAACTCTTGAGGTTTATGATTAAGATTTCCCTCCTTAGACGGCTTCGACTCTTTCAGATCTTTGCCGGGCATTTGCAATAAGCTCAGTAAAACAACCACAGTAGTAGTTCAGATTCCTATTCAGATCTAATAAAGAGCAGAGGTGCACACAGAACATTAAGTATAGATTTGAATGAAGGACTTTAAAGGAGAGCATTTCTAGTTTATATAATCATACATGTTTTATTCTTCAGATCGTTAAGGTTAGATGGATAATTTATGAGTAAAACGTATGTGGTACCAACAATGGGAGATGCTTTTAAAATTTTCATGTAGACCTTCATAAACAAGCCTTTTTTTCTTCCTTCCAGTCAGACTGTGCAGTTTTTTTTCTCCCATCGGCGACCTTTTCTGGAACCACTTTATTGTTCCTGAAACATCTAGCAGGCCGACGTCCTCGCGTCCTTTCTCAGCTTGTTGACCTCGGTCATGGCGAAGCGCGCGATAGGAGATAACTGATGGGGTCCCCGATAGCCTCGTCATATTAAATAAATATCAAAACGGGGCTTCTCGTTCGCAGAGGCCATTTATTATTCAGATCACTGGCCTATCCATTCCTCTCTGTCAGGTCTTATCAGATACCAGATAGAGGTCCCTCCTTGTCCTCGTGCCCTGCCTCCTCCTCCTCCTCTTCATCCTCCTCTTCCTCCTCCTCATCCTTTAGTCTCCCATCCTTTGCCATCTGCCAGCTGCTGGTGGACGGATGAATGTGGTGGAGATTAAAGTGCACTGCGTCCCAGAGGATTTAGATTTTTGCTATTAGCGGTATAGAGACAGTGAGTTCCCGACGTGATTTTTCAACTATCGCTGCGATATTTTCCGTTCTCTGACAGATGTTCATTAGCCATAGTAGCATGTAAACTTTGGGGGAAAAAAAGAAGAACCTGCTTACGCAAACTTGATTTATGCAACATAAGTTAACTGCATGCTGTCATTGTCAGGACAGACTTATTGTAAGGCAGGTAATTAAGATATTGAAACGGTGGGAGCAGATTACAGCGATAAATCAGTTTCGATAGAAGGGGAATGGCCTTGAGTTTCTTTGGCTTGTAAGTAGGGTTGTTTCTAACAGCCATTATTTATTTATTTTGCATTAATTGATTAAATGCCTCAGTGTGTTTCAAGCTACAACTGCGCCGTGCAGTGTGTCATCTAACCAGGCTAAAGCGTTCATCTGTGTTCTCAATGGCTGATTTAGCTCAAAGAAGTCTGTCTTCAGAAGCTTTTATTCCAATTTACAGAGCGAGTTATTCCAATGGGGACCAATTGGAAGCAGTTGTGTGGATAATGACTAAAGAGACCTTCGGATTCAGCCCACTTCCACACCTCTGCTAATCACTACGATTCCACTGTTGTACAGGGAGTTTCAGGAGATGTCAGACAGTCCAACAAGGACACGGTTTAATACATACTGTGACCTCAGCAGTATGTATTATAATATGTCATAAAGCAGTGCTAAAAAAAAAAAAAAAAAAGGCTTGTCACCACATCCACTTAGGTGATATGGTTAAAGCATAGTGTGATATATATTTTAGTATGTGTGACCAACACTTCAGAGGCCTATAGGGGATGAATTTGCAGTAATATAAAACTGTAAGGAGTTGAAAATCCGATCTTTTTTGGTTGATCAAATAAAGATGGATGTACAGGGTCATTGTTTGCATAAAATTCATTCAAAAATAATGTTTTGAAATCATTAAATATCCGATCCGAGAGTAGAAAAGACTAATGATCGAGACTAATAAGCTTTCAGTGCCAGTTTCCAAGACACCAGTTGTGACATTTAATGTTGTCCACTGATAATGCTTGTTTTACATTTAACCTTCAAACTGTCCTCGGACCTATTATTTCTGTTGACTATTTATTTCTTGACATTTCTTGTTAATGTGATGTCTCCATTTCTGTCAGGCTGTGCTGTGTAAAAAAAAAACGTATATAATAATAAGTAATTTTTAAACTGTTTACAGATCCTTCTCTGTTTTGCCAATTACCAATAATATCTAGAAAAATCACAGGAATAATAGTAAAGACTATAAATTTACCGTAACAAAAAAAAGGTCCAAACTGTAAATGTGCACATCAAAAATCAGTGTTTTTATAAATAGTAATTTGTCCTTTTACAATGTGTGATTGTAAAATTACACGTTTTAAAATTTTTTTAGGTATTTAAATGAGCAGAAAACAACATGATTTTGCAAATACTTGCTGATATTTGAAGAAAAATAAGTGTATTAACAATTGAAAAATGGAAGAAAATATTTATTTAAACTGTTGCATTAACCTGCTGTGTTAAATTACAAATAATATCTCGAAAAATTACAGAAAAAAATGAAAGTTTACATGTTGACTGCAAAATTACAATTTTGCTTTATTGAATCTTTTTTTGAACAGATTTGCTGTTATTTGAAAGAAAAAATGGTGTATATTAATGATTGAAAAATGGTTTAAAAAAAATTAACTGATTCTCCTCGTTTTGTTGTGATAATAATATGCAGAAAAATCACAAAAAATTGTCTTAATTTACATGTTGATTGTAAAGAAGAAAAAAGAAAAAACCAGGCCCAAACTGTAAACAACATCCACTTCAAATGTTTGCATTTTGTAAATAGTAATTTTACACTTATTTTATTTTTTTATTTTTTTACTGTATTTAAAACTGCAAAAAACAACATTTTAGATTTATTTGCTGATATTTCAAGGGGAGTTTTTTTTTATATATATTAAGGATTTAAAAGTGGGCATTTTACTAATTTTCCCTGTTTTTAATTTAAAAATTCTTTTTTTTACAGATATTATCTCGAAAAATCACGGTTTCCCTGGAGACTAGATGAGCATGTTCTGAAAACTGGAGTCCAGTCACACCCCAGCCATGAGCCACAAATATCAGGGAGAGGTGATGGGCGAAGCAGGCGAGGACCACAAGGCGGCGTCGGCGCCCCCGAGGAGCAGGCAGCAGCCCAACGGGACCTCCGGCGACCCTCCAGTACGTCGGTCCTGGAGGCCGTGTCAGATGCTCAACCAGGACGGGGAACTAAATCCCCATCACCACCACCACCATCATCACCATCACCCTCCTCACCACCACCACCACCACCACGGCCACGCGGGTCGTGGACCCCCTCGGCACCGCCGGCGGCCTCCATCCGGGCAGGGACAAAGCCAGGCTCAGAGTCCTGGTCTGGGCCCGGCGGTGGTTCCATCAAGGTCAGACGGAGGTGAGAGTCAGGACGTTGAACCTCGTCCCGTCCAGCAGCACCGCCCTGCTGTCACCCGGTACCGTCGCCATGGTGACCCGAACCCAAGACTCAGGAGTCACAGACAGAGGCAGCCATTCAGAGAGATCCAGGACTCTTCACCTGCTGTGGAGGAGAGAGAAGGTCCAGCAGAGGTACCGGAGCAGCACTGCTCATCAGTCGACCCTGTAATGGACCAGGGGACGGGATCTCCTCACCAGACTCCTGTTGCCGTTGTTACCCCCACTCACCTCTCTCCTGGTCCTGCAGCCAACAACGAGCAGCTTCACCCCCAACATGAAGCTGCTGCTGCTGCTGATGCAGAGGAGGACCTGCAGGAGCAAAAGGTGGAGTGTGAGGAGGAAACAGAGGAAGTTAAAGAAGATGATGTGGAGCAAGAGCAGGTGGTGGATGATGCAGATTGCCACTCAGGCGCCGATCCCCCCAGCTTCAGCCGCGATGACGAAGCAGAGGAATGTGCCGAGAGGGTGGAGGAGGATCAGGAAGAAGTGATGGACCACGTGGAGGAGGATCCTGCAGCTCAGGGAAGTGAAATCACAGATCTGTGCTCCGACACTGAGAGCGCCGCCTCGCTCAGTCTGGATGGGCCTCTCCACAGCCCGCCGCCGCTCCAGTCACCGACTCCCCCTTCCTCCCCAGATGTCCCACCTTTCCCCCAGCTGGACCACTTCAGCGAGGAGCCCAGCATGAGCCCCATCCCCGACCACGACCTGCTACCTGAAGAAGAAGAAGAAGAAGAAGACGAAGAAGAAGACGACGATGATTGCTCTGAATCGTGCTCGCTGTCCCACTCTACTTCCTGCTCTGAATCTTACCCTAAAACCTATGCAGACTTTTATACAGAGTCCCACCAGAAGTCTTACTCAGAGCCGGTTTACGAGTCGTACTCGGAGCCAAAATCACATCCCAACTCTTTCCCCGAACCCCTGAAGACCTCCTACCCTGAGCTACACAGGGAACCTCGCAAACAATCTGGCCGGAGGTCTGAGGCCCAGCAAGAGTCCCGCCCAGAGCCCCTCACCAGCCATAGACAGGAGAATGTACATAAAGGGGCTCCATCCTCCCCCACCAAGGGCTCCCATCACGCTCCAAGGCAGGGCAGGGACCGCGGGACGCATCACTCCCCTCCAGACCGCTCCGTCGGCTGCCGGCTGCACCACTACGACGGCCAGTCCGACGGCGAGGGGAACAGCGCCGATCAAAGCCCCGTCCCCAAGAGTCGCAGGCAGGCGCCGAGACAAACGGAAACCCGAGTCAGGACTCCGACGTCCGGGCAGAGCAGCTCAGGTGAGGCCCAGGATGAGCGCAGCCTGGCGGGCTTCTCAGGGGAGGAAGGCACGAAGGGCTCCGGAGACGCCATCAGCCTGGCGATTAAAGACATCAAGGAGGCGATCGAAGGGGTGAAGACGAAGACGGTGCGCTCCCCTTACACACCGGACCAGCCCGTGGAACCCATCTGGGTGATGAGGCAGGAGATCAGCCCCACGGAGGACGCATACCCTCTGCAAACTACCGCCGGCCATGTTAGTATGCCTTCACTTATTATTAGTGCTTTTTCCTTTGGCAGATTTTCCCTCCACTGCTTCTGTTCCTGTTGTTCTGTTCTGAGCAGTTAACAGCTTTGTCTTGTGTTGGTGGCAGCTAAAAATAAGATTCATCAAACAGAACCGGAGCAGAAAGGCTGAATCTCTGCTGATGCTGCTGTAATCAGCCAGCAGCCCTCAGAGTCATTATTAAACAGGAAACTGCAGAATATTTGCTCTGTTAAGAAAAAGCTTTTTATCTGATGTATTCAGAATAAATTCCCAGGTTTAGAAAAAACACTAAACACAGCACTGCAAATTGTTGTAGCTCAAAGGCGCATGATGCAAGAATTAAAGGAGTAGTTCAGCATTTTGGAAAAGATGCGACTTTCTTTCTTTTCAAAACTGTAATTAAAAGATCATTAGCATTTAGTAATGGAGTCAGGGTGTGTTGACAAGAGGCAGGTGACCTGTTTAAAGAGGAAAAATACACATACAGAAAACTGTAAAGCTGTCTTAATGTCTTTGAAGGATGTTTGTCAAGCACATTTTTAGTGATTTAAGTGTTAGATTTTAGGTTTAAAATGTCTAAGCTTTGTCTGATGTTTCTCAGTGATTTTGGTCTGTCGTGTTGCAATGATTTATTATCTTTATCTTTTTAAGTCTTGTTTACCAAACAAACACATTAAAGATATGATTTTAGTGTTACATTTTAGGATATTGCATATATTTCTTTTAGTGATTGGTATTTATCTCTAAATGTTCAGTTTTTGTCTGACCTTGCTGAATAAGTTTGCTTTTTTTTTTTTCTTCCTTTGAATCCGGTTTGTCAAGTAAACACATTAGAGATACAATTTTAGTGTCACATTGTAGGATTATTCTTCATATTTCTGCTAGTTATTGGTATTTGTCTCTAAATGTTTCAGTGTGACGTTGCCCAGAGAGTTTGGTCTGCACTGTTCCAATGATTAAATTATTTCATGCCTTCCTGGAAGTTTTACAACAAGATTTACATCCCTGCCTCTCATTTCATTTAATGACACTTGGAACAAAGCCCAACCGCTGACGCATGTATTGTCTGAACAAGGTGCCCTCATGAGTAGCTGTGGATGCGTCACAGTTTTCAAGGTTTTTCTAATCTTTTTCCTTCTTTCCCGTCTCCCAGTCGTCTCCTCACTCCCCCTCCCAGTCAGCTTCTGAGTCACCGTCCCGCTACGCCTCCCTCCCAGTTCGGGATCCGGTCAGCCCCCTGAGAGCCGAGTCCTCCAGAGCGCTGAACCCCCAACATTATCACCAACAGCAGCCCCAACACAACCACCACAACCACCACCCACACCACCACCCACACCACCACCACCATGGCCACCAGTCGCAGCAGAGGGACGCCGCCAGGCCGCCGCAGACGTACGCTCAGCAGCAGCCGTATCCACACCTGCCACCCAACCAGCACCCACAGTGTCAACATCAGCAGCAGCAGCAGCAGCAACATCAGCAGCAGCAGCAGCAGCAGCAGCAGCTTCCTCCCCCTCAGCAGCCGCGAACTCAAGTTCAGCCCCAGTCGCCTCCTCAGAAGCCGTCAGTCCAGGAGGTGAGAGTTTAGGAGTCTCAGTGTCCAAATAAAAACACGCTGCAGTATAAAAAGAAATTCAGTAATTTATTGAGAAATGTTCAGTTTGTTACAGATTTTCCCAATTTGTTAAATTACAGATAAAAACTAGCAAAATCACATTTAATCAAACCTCACGAGTATACATGTTAATCATTAAAACACTGGCCAAAACCATAGATAATGTCCACGTCAAAGGTCTGTATTTTGATTAGTATTTTGTTCTTCTACGTGTGATGTAAAGTTGCACAGGTTTTTAGCGTTTAATCTGATAAAAATAACAACATTTTACAGATATTTGCTGTTTTTTGAACGAAAAAAATGTCTATATTGACAATGGGAAAAATGTTAAATATTAATTTAACTGTCATTTTACTGATTTTAGCATTTTTGTTAAATCATAGATAAAAAAAATCACAGAAAAAAATGACATGTTAAAAAAGAATGTATGTAATATAAACGTCCACAATCTGTATTTTTATAAATAGTAGTTTGTTCTTTCACAATGTATGACAGTAAAGTTGTGCTATATAACTTTTTTATAACTATATTTATCAGCAAAAAAAACATTGTTTGAAAGATATTTGCTGTTATTTGAAAGAAAAATTGTGTATTGAAGATTGAAAAATGATAAATAATTTTTAGAATTATTTTACAGAGAAAACTAACTAATGTCCACATAAAAAAAAGAGCACTTATACAAACAGTAATTTCTTCTTTTGCAGTTGTGTGACTGTGAAATTACCCTGTATGACTGTGTATACATCAACTTAAACTATTGTTTATTTTTTATTATTATTATTATTATTTTTTTTTTTACAGTTTATGAAAATTACAGGGTTCCACCATTTCTTTACTGGACTTTTTTTTTTTCCCGTGTGGCTTTGACTTCTGATATTCTCAGTAAAACACTGTACCTTATACTAGCACAGAACATATGTATAGTCCAATAATACATTTTTATGAGGTTTTAAACCACTGACATCTATTTTTCAGAAATAGATCACGATATGTTAAAGAAAACACCTGCAAAATTAAAATGAAAAATTGCAATCATTTGCGGGGTTTACTTTTAGAAATTATCCTTTGACCCTCAGACCCATAAAAGTCATTTAAAATCTTGACAAATTTTTAAAAAATCAATAGTTCGGGTGTGTAAAACTGAAACTCAAGTGTGGTGATAAATCTTGCAAAGGCAGGAATCTTTTATAAGGTGTTAATCTGCCAGCAGCTAAATGGCTGACAGCAGTAAAAGTCCTGCAGAATTTCAATGAGTTCGGAGAGACCTGCAGTATGTGAGTAGAAATAATAAGGATGTTTTCTTTTTCTCTTTTTTTTTTGTGCCTTCTCAGATTCGCAGATCTCTTCCCCCCTTCCCCACATTTGTTGACGGTGAGTGGATTCCCATGTGAAAGTCGTGCTTTCATTCTCAGCTCCACCTCTGTTCTTTTTATCTGAGATCAAGACGAATACTTGAATAGTTTACAAGCTGTGTAGGTTTAGTTTGTTTTCTGTGCACGACTGCATGTGTCAAATATTTACTGGAATTGTTGCAGATGTTGGGTGGAGTTCCACTAGATCGTATCTTTAATCTACATGTGTAGTGTTAGCGTGCTAGCATACGTGTGTGTGGCTAACATGTGTGTCCGGTCCTTGCAGTGCCAGGGCCATGTGACCCTGAAGACCTGATCGACGGCATCATCTTTGCGGCGACCTACCTGGGCTGCACCCACCTGCTGTCGGAGAGGACGCCCACCAAGAGCGCTCGCATGCAGCAGGCTCAGGAGGCCATGAGCAGAGTCCGGGTGAGAGCAAATTACTTTGATTTCATTCTGTGTTCATGTTGCAGCAACAGAGGAAGGACGGGAGAACATGTGGCTTCTCCTGATGCATTTATTCCCTATATAATAAGCAGATTTTTTTCCTCTAAAGTAAACAGTAAAATGTGATTTGGACCGGTATCACTCTTCATGATTCTCCACCATCATGGAAATAGTTCTCCAGTCCGCTACCTGTAATGTTTTCCTCTCGAGATAACAACATTACATTTTGGGATTGTTCAATGTCTGGACACTCACTTATTCTTTCCATTATAAGGAATTATGAGGAAGCTATAATTATCCATCCATCCATCATCTATACACCGCCTAATCCTCACTAGGGTCATGGGGGGCTGAAGTCTATCCCAGCTGACTCAGGGTGAAGGCAGGGGACACCTGGACAGGTCACCAGTCTATCACAGGGCTACACTTAGAGACAGACAACCAAGCACACTCACATTCACACCTACGGACAATTTAGAATCACCAATTAACCTCAGCATGTTTTTGGACTGTGTGGGAGGAAGCCGGAGAACCAGGAGAGAACCCACGCTGCACGGGGAGAACATGGAGACTCCACGCAGAAAGATCCCGGGCGTCCTCACCAGGATGCAAACCGGCAACCTTCTTGCTGCGAGGCAACGGTGCTAACCACCGAGCCACCTTGCAGCCCACACTATAATTAATTCTAGTAATTTTAAATATGGGTCCTGTTTTCTGACATTTCTGGGTTTAAATGATGAGCAACAGCTATAACAAGGCCGCAATGCCAATGAAGTACATTCGTCTCTGTCAAAGTAAGGTCTCATTTTTGCCACTTACAGGCTCAGATTGTCATTTTAAGTATCTGACAACATTATTAAAAGGCAAACCTGCATCTAACATGAAACAGAAGCCTGGCTCTGAAGTCTTGTGGGTAGAGTGTTGCAGGAGGCGTGAGTGGGAGTAACAGAAACACAGTTGGCGTAACAGAAAACTTAAATTACTGTTTGTGTTTTTAGGATTTCCACAACAAAAAACACATTTGCTTTCCCAGATTACGTTTATGGGACATGCTGTAGTCGTGGCTGGTTGTGCTACACATGGATAAAAACACTGACGTCGTGTTTGCAGGGACCATTTTGACGACTGCCAGTCAAATAGGAGAAGAAATCCTACAAGAAAAGCTTTTATTCTTAAAGGAAAAACTGTCTTCCAAGAGCAGAGAGGATGTGCTGCAGGCAGAGTGGAGGCATTGTTATGAGCTGTATTAGTTGATCTCGCATCAGTGCACAAATGGCAGGATGAAGACAAAAAAAACAATCAGTTAATAAACCAGTAGCATTGCAGCTGCTTCGTGGTTGTCAATTATAGCATTCCGGCTCAATATTGGAAAGATTTCCAACATTTATGTCCTTAAAAATGAATCATTTACACTGAAAATAAAGAAAAATAGAGCCCAGGTTAGAAAATGCTAAAGGTTTATATGTTTGAATTACAACAAACAGGGATCTTGCATTTTGAAGCCACAGCTTCTACACAGCTTTCTAGACATTTTCAAACCATCAGTGATGTAACTCAGGTTCGCTTCGTATTCAGGTCTTTGTAAAGTCAGAGCGCCTCAGCGGGCGACACGGCCGGCGGGCCAACGTCCCCGGGTTCGTGCCCAGTGCATCATCCACAGATCACTGCTTCTGATGCGGAGTCGTACAGGCTTTTCTCCTCGGCTCCACTGCATGTTATATAAACTGCTGTGGAAGGCAGCGAGGTCCTGGAGACTCTACTTTCTTCTCCAGTCACAGTAGATGAACTCAAACAGGCTTCACGCAAAAGGAGAACGACTTCTGACTCCCGCGATCAAATGGAGCGAATCAATGTGACCGTGTCTGGTATCAGATTCGGTTTCTTGCGGTTTTGTGTTTGTTTGCCAACATGAGAAGAAATAATGGGAGATGATGTCGGACGCTAGTTTGAGGCAGCTAAGGGACAGTGGTGTCGGCGAGGGAGGGAGCCACTTAGATCGCTTACAGTGACTTTCAAACATAACCGAACTCGTCGAGTACAAGAGACGAGCAGTGAGATGCTTTGTGGAGTGAAGAAAGTCAGGAGGAGGAGGACGGGAGCCGAGCCAGACTCTGGATGGTTGACTGACAGTTCCAGGACATCGCCTCCGTTAAGGTCTGACAAACCTACAGAGGAGGGAAAGGTTAGAGACTGTATAGCGATGAGATGAGAGGGATGTATAAGTGTTTCTCTGCTTTTTCTTTATTTTCCAAATGAGAAAGCCAGAAGCTGGGTGGATTCATGGATGTGACTCAGGATGCTGATAGCGCTGCATTTTATCGCCTAGTTTAAAACCTGTAAAGCTCTCAGTGTGGAATTGATTCATTGGCATTCTTGTGTGCGGAGCTGCAATCACGTCCTCGCACACGAGCCTCCGTTTCTCGTAAAGTGCTTTTATTGCACAGCTTGTGCTGTAAGTGTTGACTTAGTCCCAGCAGCGGTTTTATGCATTTGTGTCGCTCGCGGTGGAAAATGAACAGATCAGAGCTGAAAACTGTATTTACAGTTGCTCAGTCATGTCTGGCTGATACAGCGTCAGGTTAATGAGGTTATCGTCTGTGCCAGCATGGATAAAATGAAGCTGTGTCGTACTAATATCCATCTAGTCCTTGCATTTTGATAGTTTCAATGCTTGAATAGTTAATTATCTGTCGTTGTTTATGTGTCCCAATATCACACATTTGCATTTACAATCTGTGCAGCTACGACAGCGTCTTACGAGGAGAAAAGTAGCAGAAACAAATTTCTAAATAAGCAGCTGAGGGGCTTTTTTTTTAGGATGTAATAGATCTATCATGTGTAAATAAAAGAAAAAATAGATTTGCAGTGTGAACATACAGGAAGAGTCAGCTTCCAGGTGTCACATAACAGCCTCCACAAAACCTAAAAAATATTCAAATACATATATATTTTCCTCTTTAAAGGTATCGTTAATCAGAAATGTAAGAATAAAGATGCAAATATGTGCAATGATTTGACATTTTTCCACATTTCTGATCATTTTTAATGATTGAATTGTCATACTTTTTCAATTCATTAGGTTTTTACCAAACAGCCTCACAAAGCCGCTTAAATTTTATATTTTTATTCTCTTTAAACCCCTAGTTTGAAATCTAAGGATAAAGCTACGAATGTGTTCAGTGAACTGATGTTTTCTCACATTTCTGATCATTTTTCTCGCTGGCGTTGTGACAGTATTTCAACAGCACATCATAATTATAATGAGTGAACACATTTAAAAAGCCAAGAAGAGAAACAACATTTTTGTTTGTGATTATTAGGGCTTAAGCAGTTTAAATAAAGTAAACTGACAATATTTATCATGTATATTTCAAAAATATTAGATATTTTTAAAGGCCCATTTAGGATTAGATATAAATAAATGTAAAATATCGGCCTTGGTTGTCAAAATAATCAAATAAATACAGAAAAACGAATCAAATGAAACTCAGTAAACATACTATTTGTGAGAAATGACTCCAGCAGCCAACAAAGATGGACGCTGATTATTATCCGAGCTGTCGGCCGACTGAAACATGAAACCCTGACGGTGACACGACGGCTCTGAGCAGAGATGAAAGGCGACGTGGGCCAGAGGTCAGGAGTCAGACTTCATCGTGTGATGGTGGTGCTGATGTGACGCACAGCTGCTCAGCTAACACATGTGTTTTGTCCTGACTCACTGCAGCACCTGGGAGTGTTTACAGCAAATATTGTCTCACTAAAAAAAATCAGATTTAATAAGAGACCTGGTATTCACTGTTTGTAGAAGTGAGTTTGGAGGCAACCAAGTCACAAAAACTGCAAAGAGATGTGAAGGTTTAAACAATCACATCCTTTAAAAGCTGCTCTTAATTGTGTGATGTGGACGATACGTCAGCAGCACAGAGACCTGATCGCTGTTTGGTTTTTAATCATCATTTTGCAGCATTAGTCAGGCCGCTGCTGGTTGCGTAACCTTCATCCGTCGCTAACGTTTGAGCAGCACAATCCCTAATCATGACCAGTAAACGGGTTTAAAACAAAACAAAATGCATTATGAGGAAAAAAACCTGATTTGGTGACACTTGACTGAACCTTTAAAGTCTTTTCTACAGGCTGGTTTGTTGTTCCTGCTTCTACGTTCTTGTTTAGTTTCTATTCAAATAGATGGACGTCCTATTATAAACTCCATGTATTTGTTGGCTGCACCATAATAAACAAAGCTCGTAGCAGCCAGTCATAATCAGTTCATCCCAGTTTAACCTTTTACTGCTGCAGCTCCTCCTGACTTTACGTTCAACTGTTTAACACTAAATAACTTTCAATCACAGAAAAATGGCTTAAACTGAAGAAGATGCTCGTACCAATAAATCCATAAAAATTGATCACTCAGCTCCTGTAATTTATTTATCTATAGGATGAGGCAGTAAATTGTATATTGTTTTATAGTTAACATGCAAAAATGTACAGTTTAAAACCTACACATTTTACTCCAATGGTGGTAAGAAGTTTTATTTACCTTCGAGTGAACCAAATTTGAGGGTGATATATCTGAAGGTGCTCTGGTTGTAATATGCACATGATGCACTTCAAGAAGGTCGCCGGTTCGTGTCCCGGTAAGGACACCTGGGATCTTTCTGCGTGGAGTCTCCATGTTCTCCCCGTGCAGCGTGGGTTCTCTCCGGGTTCTCCGGCTTCCTCCCACAAGGTCCAATAACATGTTGAGGTTAATTGGTGATTCTAAATTGTCCGTAGGTGTGAATGTGAGTGTGCTTGGTTGTCTGTCTCTAAGTGTAGCCCTGTGATAGACTGGTGACCTGTCCAGGTGAACCTGCCTTCACCCTGAGTCAGCTGGAATAGACTCCAGCCCCCCATGACCCTAATGAGGATTAAGCGGTGTATAGATGATGGATGGATGGACGAATGATGCACTTCTTTAAAATGAAAATAAAAGTATGTTTAGAAGGCTTAATTAAATGGTTACAGTCGTACTTGTTAACTGTAATGTTTATAGTGTCTAAGTTGGTAATAATGCATGATTAATTCTGATTAATGAGCTGTGGTTAAGTCGTTTATTAGAGTGCAAATGGTACAAACACTTAACCACAGAACCAGCCAAGAGTTTATCTTGATATAAGTTTAGGACTGCAGCTAATTAATCTTTTTTATTATTGATTAATCTGCAGAACGTTGTTTTGATGACCCAATCAGTTGTTCAATTTATAAAATGAGACGAAAAGGTTAAAAAAAACTTCACATTTTAGGAGGTTACATGATCAAACAGTTCAAAACAGCCAACACTGATGTTAATAGTAACATGTTTTTCTACAGCAATGAATTTCTGCCTCTCTGTCGATTTGGTTTCTTTTTTTAGACCAATATCTGAAGTATTTCTGTGGAATATTCCAACTTTTTCCGACTTTTCTCTGACACCGTGGCTCCAGTTGCTCTGGTCTTCATCTAACCAATATTGCTGGTTGACATTAAATGCAAATTTAAAGCTCTGGTGTAACACAAAGTACACAGATTCACCTGCCACCGATACACTCATTTTTTAAGGGCTTAAATGCAACAGATGTTCGTTTATACATAAAAGTCCGGCTTTAAGATTAACAGTGATTTGCTGCAGCTGACTAATTTTGCGACTCTGACTCCATCCAGCGATATTAAACGTTTGAATATGTGACTTCTGATTTATTTAACCTGATACATACCTTACATAAACTGTGCAACACGCCAGGGAGGGCCACCTCAGTCATTGTTGAATGAAACAGCCGTTTGAGTCCACGTAGGAGCTCTAATCCCTCTGATATCGCAGATTAAAGCCCTTTAATCACATCTGTTCTGCTGGAAAAACGGAGCAGGCAGGTTTGGATTTTTAACTTTGAAGCAGGTTGTAAAGAGCAAATGGTGGCGCAAAGCAACGTTCGGAAACACGAACTCTGAGCCACAGCGAGGCCGAAAAGCACAAAGTCACTTTTTTTTCTTTCTTGGGGGTCATTTGTGTCACATTGATGAAGGGGAGGCTTTTGATAGCGGTCGCTGTGAAGGCCTCTGGCAGCCTGCTGCTGTCAGATGTGATAGACAGCAGCATCACTGTCCTCCCACACACACAGCACGGACCTTTAAGGGCTTTATTTTGTGCCTTAATTTGGCATTTGGAACGGAGACAGTGAATGAGGCGATTTGGTTTTGGTCCATCCGCCCGAGAAGCTATTTTTCCTCACACCGCTGTCTTTGATTTGTCTTTCCTCTGAGTGTGTTCTGCTCTCTGATCTCTGCAGGCTGCTCAGAAGCAGGCGAAGAACAGGAAGAAGGTGAGTTTTATTTCCTCTTATTGCAAAGCACAAAGTAAAAGAGGGTTTCATAGTGCAGAGATGTGATGGCAGCGTTGGAGGAGGATGATTCATGTCTTTGTTGGTCCCTGTCTGGTGTGTCTTTGGTTTGTTGGATGCAGATTGTGTGACACGTGTTTTCTTTTTTTTGAATGCTCTTCATCAACCTGTTGCTTTGTCTGTTTAATTCTCGTCTGTTTCCCTGCAGAGCCCCGACGGCGAGGCTCCGTCCACCGCTGAGGTCGACCTGTTCATGTCCACACAGCGTATCAAAGTCCTCAATGCAGACACTCAGGTGTGAAACCAACGCTGTCAAAAACAAACCCGCCTCTAACATTGACAACGTGGTGGTTTTAGCAGCTGTGATCCTTCTGCCCACCAGGAGTCTCTGATGGACCTGCCGCTGAGGACGATCTCCTACATCGCCGACATCGGCAACATGGTGGTTCTGATGGCCCGGGGCAAGATGGTCCGGTCCCGCAGCGCGCAGGAGAACCTGGACCACGCGGCGGAGCAGACCACCATGAACCACGACGACAGACGGCTGTACAGGATGATCTGCCACGTGTTCGAGTCCGAGGACGTGAGTTAGTGATCGGTTTCACCGGCTCGGTTTCACCGGCTCAGGTCGGACCTCTAGGGGGCGACGACGCTGTACGAGCATTTATTAACTAGCTGGCAGATAATAATAATAACGATAATGATATTAATAATAATAATAACAATAATAGCAACACTAGCAGGTTTTAATTAGCTAGCAGATAATAATAATAATTAATAATAATTGCTACTACGAGCTAGTAGCAACGATATCAGTTATTCTGTTGCTTTATTTTGCAGAAATTCATGCATGTTACTGTTTTTCTGATCATTTGATTTTCCCTCGGTGCTGAATAAAACTTCTTTAGGGGTCCAAAGAAATTCTTATGTGCTGTAAAAAACTTATTTTACTACAAAATATCTGCAGGTCTTGTACAGTCTAGAAAAGAACCTGATTTAGTTTCTGTAAAACATGATCTCAAAGGTCTCGGAAATCAAAAAACAAAAAACAGGAATATGTTTTATATACAGCTGGCAAGTACTTAAAAGTTAATATTATTATACTGATAAATTTGGGGTTTTATCGTCTCTACTGTTTCCCCATTAAAGCCTTTTCATTCTGTAGCGGCAGCAGAGTTAAAAGATCCCAAAAAGTCTTCTTTTTAAAATTTAAAAAAAAAAATCCTATTAGTAACAGTTTTAAGGCTTATTTTGAGTTCATGAAAAGTCAGTTTGCTCATAATAAGAGCTGTAATAAGTGAGCAGAGGTGTGTTTAGTGAACAGAAAACACTTATATTTGACCTTTTTAGGGATGTTTTTAGCACCTCCTTGTTTTGTTTCCATCCAAGAATCAGCAGAGTTTGGTTTAGACTTGATTTCTTCTTGTGTTTTTGGGGTTTTCCCTTTACTTCAATGTGCTATAAAGCTGCTTTTTGCACATGTAAATGCACACAAACATACAAACTTACAAGGGGAAACTTAAATGCAAACAAAATCTCAAAGTCTCCCCTAAATCGAGTTATCCTCTCCTACAGAAAATATCGGTCCCTGATCGCGCCTCCTTTAAAGTTGAGGCTTTTCTTTATCTCCATCACCGTGCAGCTCATTTGCATAACGCCTGAATAGCAGCTAGTTTGGCACATCGACGAGTGGAGGAAGCAGCTTCTTTGCATTATTTCCTCACCATAGCTGCTTCTGTTTAAAGTTACAACAAAACCAGAATCATCAACAAAGAGGGAGCGTTTCAGAATCACAAGGACTCGATTCATCGTTACCGTTCACACGCTCAGAAATGTAAGCCATCAAAAAAATATAAGTTACACGTAAGACAAAAGCATCAAATATCAAAATGAACATTGTTTTAGGTAAATATAAGCACACAGTGTAATAATAATGATAATAATTGAGGTATTGACAATATAAAGGCCTGTAAACAAACACTAATCGACACCAAATATAGAATTATAAACCTGTACATTTGCAGAATATCTAAAAGGTTCAAACACAACTCAGGAGTTTAAACCTGCTTCCAGACTTGATGCTTCTTCTCTTCAACAAAACTGATGTTAAGCTTCCTCGTTAACACCTGAAAAGAACTATTCAGAGAGTAAATCTGACACTTCTGTGATAGTTAATACTGTTAATATTTTAATGCCTAATAGCTCAAGTTCTACTAAACGTTTGAAGACTTGGTTTCAGAGCAAAAGGGCTCAGAATTATGTTCACGGTCCTCGCTAGTCTAGTGCTTTAACGCGTGTGTTTGTCTATTAATGAGATGTAAATAATCCTTTTGAACTTGAGGTCTGGGCCCAGTTTGTCACAGATTTCCCTTAAGGCCCATAAAAGATGTGCGGTTGTGTTCCAGGCCCAGCTGATCGCTCAGTCCATCGGCCAGTCGTTCAGCGTGGCCTACCAGGAGTTCCTCCGAGCCAACGGCATCGACCCCGAGGACCTGAGCCAGAGGGAGTACAGCGACCTGCTCAACACTCAGGACATGTACAACGACGACCTCATCCACTTCTCCAAGTCGGAGAACTGCAGAGACGTGAGTCGGCCAGCAGGGGGCAGCAGACACTGTGGCTTTTAATTCATGCGCTCGTGTGGGTTCAAAAAATGAGCGTATCCCAGGTTACGTATTGACAATCCTGCATGGTTTTAAAGACTTTAGCAGCTTTTGTTCATCTAAAGAGCAACAAAGCCTTCAGCTCAGGTCACATCAGGACTGTTCTGCTCACTCTGCTGCTCATTTGCCTCCCAGTGGTTTGAAGTGAGCAGCTGGTTCTGGAGTCACAGCTGTGTGACAGTTTAGTGAATTAAAAACATCCTAACCTCAATATGACGGTGAACGTGTCTCGCTGCTGTTTTCATCGTCTCACATGTTACAGGACGGAGCAGTTGGCTGTGAGAAGCTCAGAGCGGCTGCTGTGTTGCTGCTTCAGCTTGTTTTTTGTGTCTCTGCAGGTTTACATTGAGAAGCAGAAAGGAGAGATCCTGGGCGTGGTGATCGTGGAGTCGGGCTGGGGCTCCATCCTGCCCACCGTCATCATCGCCAGCATGATGCACGCCGGCCCGGCCGAGAAGTCCGGTCGGCTCAACATCGGAGACCAGATCATGACCATCAACGGGACGAGTCTGGTGGGTTTACCGCTGAGCACCTGCCAGAGCATCATCAAGGTACGCCGCCGCTCACTGTGGGTTAGGGTTGTAAATAATTGTAATAAAATAAATGAATTGGTAATTTCTAACTTTGAAGCTTAACTCCGTCTTGCTGATGTTTATCTGTTTTGACCTGCTTCTGTCTCCTCTCAGGGTCTAAAGTCTCAGTCCAGGATCAAGATGAACATCGTCAGGTGTCCTCCTGTTACCATGGTGCTCATCCGCAGGCCGGACCTCCGGTACCAGCTGGGCTTCAGCGTCCAGAACGGCATTGTGAGTAACAGGACTGATCGTTGATATTGATGTGGATTGGATTGTGGTTCTGCTGTGGGGCTTTTTAAACACTTAAGAAAGGCTTTTATTTTGGTTGCGCATTCATCCTCCTACAAACCAGCATCTGTTTCTTAGCAACAGACGTGAAGCAGCAATTGATCTCATAATGTTAAATCGTCGATGTTACGATCACTGACAGTTTAAATATGATCCTCAGTCACAGTTTTACTCACATTAAGTTAATTTTTCTCTACAACATAAACATGGAAACAGGATGACCATGGCTAGAAACAGAATCCTAAATCATGTTAAAAAAAATGAAAGTAGTTTCTTTGATTATTTATTTTACACTTAAAAAAACTCAATCAACACGTACAACATTTTATACCCAAAAATGAGGCTCTGCAAACTATAAATATGTAACGTTTCAACAGTTTTTGACACGACTCTGCTCATCAGCTGTAGGAAGATGTTTCACCGTGTTGGATGTATCGTCCACCAACGTGCCGCTCTGCTCACTGTTTCTGAGTCTTGCTGCTTTTATTTTATTGTTCAAGTCCTCAGAGTTTCTCTACATCGCCGTTCTGCTCTGTGTCAATGCAGCCTGCAGATCAACCGAAGAGTCAGTCAGTTTGTGTCGTGGCTTCTCAGCTTCACAGAGGAGCTTAAAAGGTTTACTTTGTTCACAGAATCTGATGTAAATTCTTTATTTTTGCCAAAAAGAATGAAGTGAATTTGATGAAAATGCAGATTTTAAGCATAGATTTGGCTGTTTTGCCACAACAAATTAGTTCAAAGCTTGTCCTGAAGATGAAAATCTGCCAGATTTGTTTCTACAGTTTCAGGCTGCTAAAAGTGGTCAAACTTTGACTCTTGCTGTGTTTTTTATTTTTATCTGCGGTGTTCAGATCTGCAGCCTGATGAGGGGAGGCATCGCTGAGCGGGGAGGCGTTCGCGTCGGCCACCGGATCATCGAGATCAACAGCCAGAGCGTGGTGGCGACTCCTCACGAGAAGATCGTACAGATCCTGTCCAACGCCATGGGAGAGGTGAGGAGCTGCTTTAATAGTGTGTTTAGTGGCTGTTCAAAGCCTCGTTGTAATAATTCCACCAGTACAACAGACTAAACTCTGTTGATTCTGCTTGATTGTGACGTTTTTTCTGATCACTGATAAACAAAAAACGAGTATGATGTGACAAATACTAAACCCTGCAGTATAAGCTCCCCAGCAGGTGATTTAAAAAATAAAATTATACAAGAAACCAAATGAGAGCGATCCGTGTGTGGAAACGTTTGTCAGAGTTTAATTTGCCGTTTGCTTCTGCTCCAGATCCACATGAAGACGATGCCTGCAGCCATGTACCGTCTGCTGACAGCGCAGGAGCAACCGGTTTACATCTGAACACAACCTTTACCCTCTTTGCACCGCTCCACCACTCAGTCTGTCCAGTTGTTTTGAACCTTCCTCCTCCTCCTCCTCCTCCTCCTCCTCCGTGTCCCGTTTCTATCACTTGACTTGCCTTAATCTGTACAGTTGACTGTCATGTAAACATGGACATCGCAGCGTGACAGCAGAAGGCAGATTATCTCACCACAGGCCGAGTGTTCGTGTGACGTTTTATGTTCGACCAAAGACAAGTTAGTGGATTCTATTGTGTATATTTAGGTGGCAAATATTAACTGTTTTTTTTTGGTTAAATAGCTGTAATTTTTGAATGTACTCGAATCATGTTGGACCTACAAATGATCAGGGTGACAGAGAACGTTGAGCTAACGGGGAACGCATGTACAATTCTGCTGAATAAAGTCTATGAAGAACAAGCTGGTCGGTGGATCCTGGTTTGTTTTATTCAACGGAAACGCAGAAATTAAAGTACTCAGATTTGCAGGAGACACTGAAACAGTTTCAGACTCAAAACAACGTTTTTTTTTCTCTATTTCCTCTTTTTCCGTTGTTGGACTTGACCAACCGAAGCGTCGCTACACTTGACTTTGACTGATGTCTGGCTGTAAAAGTAGCTGCCCTCATTTTAGTGCTGAAAGGACGTTTCTTTTATTTGATTGATAGATTTCATTTTCTCTGCAGCAGCTCTGTGCAGAAACAAAGGCCTCGATCGATCATTTTAGACGAGAGGTGTCACAAAAAATGTCACCGTCAGACATCAAAACACCATTTTTAAAAATGTTGAAGTGTCTGTATCCTTAAAAAGAAGTACGTGGTTGATGGTCAGTCAGATAACTGAACCACCTTTAACATTCTGTTGTCAGGATTTAAACGGCTTTATCCTGTAATTATTGCTCAAATAACGACAGTTTAATGCAGTGGAGTGAGTATTATGTGGACAGAACCACAGTCGGATCACTTTAGAGGAAATATTGAGGTGTGTTGAGGTGAACGTAAGCAGAATCCAAGTCTCCACCTTAATTCCTAAACACAAAGAACTCAGAAAATAAATTAAAGCCGCAAGCGGCGATGGACGGGTCCTCGCCCTACGCTGATCGGCCGTCGCGCACGACGAGGTGTGGCACAAACGTGCTCCGGGCGGGACTGTGGTCCGGCATGTGGAGTTTGGGGCAGATCGGAGCAAGTGTGGCCTAGTTACGAGCCACTTCCTGTTTAGTGGCGAGCCGCGGCGGCGTGCGTGTCAAAGTCATACTATAGCATGTCGTTTTTGTCAAAAAAGATCACGTTCCAGAATGTCCTGAAAACGCATCAGGATGTAGTATATAGTGGGAAAAGTGTCCTGCATGTGTTTAAAGACAGCTTAGGAAGGTGCTTCCTGAAAAAAAGCACATTATGTATTTGGGCCTCAATAAGATTTCATGTTGTTGACAGTGTGGCTTTAATGAGAGTTATAGAACAGT